TTTCTATGTCACACAGGAACTACTGTATCTGATACTTATCCCTTGTTGTGTTGGGTCAAGGATGTGTGTGTGTGTGTGTATATATATATATATCATGTGTGTGTGCAAGGGCTATAATATTTTTTCAACATTCATACAGCGACTCAACCCCTACCCCATAGGGATTTCACTGACAAGGGCACGACAAACATACATCTATATTCATCAACCTATCTATCTACCTATTAACAGATACAGCCTTCCAACCGTATTGCAGACGTCCCATATAAGATAGTTTTGATTGATGGTATTTTTGTAATTGAGGTAATATTTGTATTACTTTTGTCCGTGAGTTTGGTCAGCTGAAAATCTCAGCAAGGATGCTAGACAGACATCTATCTGTCTTTATAACGCTGAATAAAAGGACAAATGAATGAAAACAACAACAACGAAGAATCGAAGCAGGTAAACATATAAAACAAGGTAAATATAAACGGATAAATACATATAAGAACATGACATGAATTCTATTCATTGACCAACTTTTTGGACGCCCTTTTCTTTTTAGTCAAAATTATGTTGCACAGATGTATCAGTCTACATGTGTCGAGCCAGTACTTGTTGTACCACTTGAACAAAGAGGTTTACTTGACTAGAACAAGTAGAAGCCCAGACGTCCATGTATGTCTTCTTTGGAAATCACAAATATTTCCACTAATCTGTGTCAAACGGTTATCAATGATTGGCCAGGCCGTTTGGGTGATTGATGAGCTGAAAATTTCTAATAATATTTTATGTAATAGATTTAATTGACAGTGTGGCCAATCATTCGGATACATGTAGTGTGTAAGTATGGGACCACATAACAACTGCATCGAATTGAGAAAAAAATTCGCCTGCCATATCTAAGGCACCAAATTTAAACACAAGTCAACAATCGAAAAGTAATAATTGAGATATAGCCTGTATTAGTTATATCGGAACATCTTGAGTCACGCAGAGGCACACAGAGAGGAGTCTATGATAGTCGTCCATTAGAAATGGGGCTGCTCATTAAAACTGTCCCGTGGAAATGACCGTAAAATGCACCATCTACTCACACAGAGGCGGTGCCGCTAAGCTCGCTCTACGGCAAAGACGGTGATTGTTTTCCCTTTTACGGGTATATTAAGCTTTAATCCGATATGTTAGGTTCAGGCTTTTGAACGATATGGTAAAGATTACTATATGATACAACTTGTTGCAAAAGGATTTTCGCTTTGTTGCCAAACTATACATATACATTCCCTTTGCATGAAAGCCGCAGAATCAAAGACTGGAAACAAATGTGGCCCAAGCAGACAATAATATCTAATTCTGCACTTCTTTTCTTCCGATCGGAGCCATCGCTGTGCATGAGGGGCCATCCTGACAATTACCGTGACGATCGAGGGCAGTTTTTGAAAACTCCTTCTCCTGACTAATGAATTCTTGTTGCTCCAACGCCGTCCGATGAAAGGCCGTTGTAAGATTTCCAACTGGCGAACAAGAATCAAACGCAGACCTTGAGGCTGCTCTGACTCTGCGTGATGTCTTTGCCGTCGCGGCGGAGAGCCCTCACCCTTTCATCGCTCGCGTGAGGGGGTGATCGCGCCAAGTCTTCCTAGCGCTACTCGCTGAATCATCCAGACAACTGAATAACAAGCGTAAAACTTTGAGCAGGCTCTACCCATACGAGTTCCGTTCTGTCTAACGACTCGAGGATGCCCTCCCCCATTTTTCAAGCCCCCGCTTTTTCGTACTTGAACCGACGCCCCCCGCCGCGCCTGTCTTTAAAACTACGTAAATAAATTTTGGAGCGGGCACCTGATATCCAAATCACACGAAATTGTTTCAAGATGGTGCATGTAGAAAGGCTGACGAGGCGAAAGTACGTGAGTGGAGTAGGAGCATGACTTGGCGAGGGTGTGAGACATAAGATGTGCTGAGGAATAGACAGAAGATGACGAGTTCAACCAGAGTCCACTCGGCGCGTGGTACATGGCTGTCAGTGGGTAGCGTAGTTAGCGGGTCCTTTGATGTTCCCGGGCCCTTTTTGGATCTATGAATTCTCCCTGGTAACTACCACTCCACAGGTAATTACGCAAACGCCGATAATGGTTCCATAAAACACCACTGCAACTGCAACCAAATTCCCACAAATTTTAAAGAGCATAATTGCATAGTTTTATTTCAATGTTTTGTTGTGCCGCGAAACGCAGAATATCGTCTGAAAACCTGTCGATCAAAGGCAGAGGATGTTCTGAATGCACCGCCTCATTAGCGACACTATTGCTCAGAAAGCGACCCGTAGCTACAGTCATCAAACTGCCTCAGTTCGAATGCTCGCATTGAAAATCATTCCGACCAAAGCACCTCCAACAAGAGCCGTTATTGTCTGGAGGCAAGGCAAGGAGCGGGCGCAGTGGTTCCAATAAGATGGGTTCCTTCTTTTGTCGATGCCCATTAATTAGGCTTGAATGCGCAAGTAGGGTTGTGTTTTTGTCTGGGCTGGATAGTGGTGTCAATGCGTGTGCTCACAGCTCGCTTAAACGTTCGGAGCCGCCTTTAAACTTTGTCCCCCCGCTCTATAATTAAGTCGACCCGATAGTCTAGGCTGTGAGGGTTTGTCCGACAATTCCACGCTCTCTGCAAGAAAAGAGAAACCAGTGGGTCTTGTTTTTATATTTTTCTGGATGACCGGGCGTGCTTTTTTCCCATAGTGTCTGTGCAGGGACACGATCTGGGCACATTCATTCTGGGCCTGCTGTTTTTTCTGGCTACTCAGAAGGGAGTAAAGTGTCATTCATCCAACTGGAACGGGACGGCATCTCGCGGTTGGCAACATGCCGCAACTTCCAAGCGTCGGAGAATGACACACATAAGGCCTCCTATAGCACACATTCCCATACACAATACTGAAATAACATCACTGAAGCCTCCACAGTTCTCTCTTTGGTTTTCGGCACAACCATGTTTACACGAAGTAACGCGCTGAAAATGTCTTTTTATGGGATTTCACACCACGGCTCCATTTGCTCGTTACCAAATCGCACAAGAAATAACGACATTAGATTAAGCATGAAGCCAATCATTACCACGCATGCCAGAAGTTAGCTAGATAAACAGACCAGCAGTGTGAGACCGCTTGACACCAGTCTGCGATATTTCCATGAAACTTTCATACAACAGTAAACCGATCGGTCGGCATGAGAACACCAAATCAGGAGACGAAGTCCAACATGTAGCCCTTTCATGGACCTTTCTCGATGTTATCAGAGAGATTTTTGTAGGAAATAAACATTCTGCAAGAAGCTTGTCCTGAGAAACTCTATCCACTCCAAACCAACCGCACACGGAGCCAGGGGGCACCGTAACCTTCAGATTCCGTCAACGCGTTCCTTGAAAGAACATCCTAATCAATTAACACTAGGTTTGTGGGGAGCGCCTCACACGAAACTTGAGAAGTGAGGGGGCATCGCGAAAATTCAATTAGGCTAGGATAATTGTGCCTTAATGATGTTAACATCTGACAATGACAACTAATTATGGCCTCCCCAAAACGCGGTAAACAAAGCCTGGCAGAGGAAACGGAACGCACATGGCCCGTTAGCCCGCCAGCCGGGGGATTAATTAGTGCAGGAAAGTTTTAACACTTAGCAACTACGTGTTAATATACTCCTCGGGGTCAATAAAGTTAGCTCAGGTGGTCAGAACCCGTAACGAGACGGCAGCCCTTCAGAGACGCCTCGACTTTTTCATGTACCATCCGGGGAAAAAAGTCGGCTCTCTGTTCGTTTGTGGAGCCATTCAAGCATGTGGACTTGTGAACAAACCGCCTATGTGGGCACGTCAGGCCCAATACTCGGGGGTTGGGCCGATGGGTGTTAGTAGGTCCGTGCCGACCAGGCCTGATTAACCGCAGCCATATCCATAGCTGTGATGTCGGTATGAGCCTACTCTCTCAGCTGTTCGCGTGATAGAGACATTCGCCCACAAATGTTCTTCCCCCGAGTCTGACGCGATAGACGGGTGTCAGTACACAGGGTAGCAACAAGTGACGAGATGCAGGGACGGACGGGCCGGCTCGCGGCGGGACGGCACTCCGTCCTCCCGGGCCTCTCCTGACACGGTGTCGTTTCACTTGTCATGTCGCCTGCTAACAAAACTAATCAGCTGCTATGGAATTTCATACGCAGGCCGCACGGTTGAGATGAGTTTTGCCCAGCCCACAAGTCTTTTTGAACCTCCGTCGGTATGTGCCTTCCACGCGGGGCCCTCCCCCTCCCCCCGTCTCTTCTTTCAACCCTAGTTTGTATGTGCACGACGGCGTGGGGCGCGCTGAAATCTGCGCTTTGCCCGAGCCGCTAAGTATGTTGTATTTTGACACGAAGGCAGGCTGTGCTCACTCATAGTAAATCGGAACAGACTGTTCTCTATCCTAGATCTAGTCCCAGTCCGACCACGCGCAGCTGTTACAAGATACTCCCACCCAGTTTTGAACGTGGTAACTTCTCATACTCATGTTTCCCTAAAAAACAGGGGCATATTAATCATTTCTTCATATAAGGAAGCGCGGATACGCGCGAATCTGGAGAGGGAAGGGGAGGGTGAAGAAGCTTGGCCCGAGCTCCGGGGGGTACATATTCTCTCTGATGTTGTGCTTGTGATGAAACAGCGCCCCAGATGTTTTTACCACGGTCCCGCCACGAGCCCAGGCCGATCGGCTCGCTAATGTGTGCATTCGATACCTCTTCTCGCGCCTGCCGCCCAGCTTCAGATGGACAAAACTGGGACAAATCCGTCCGCTGGCAAAATCTGAATCCCGCATCCAAAGTGCCCGACAAAAGACTCACCATGGGAGTTCCCGACTGAAGTAACTAATTAAACAAGTGTTATACTAAGTACGTGTCAAATGTAACATGAAACTACCGCTTATTTTTGTTTCACCCAAGTACAGATCTAATTGACAAAACGGAAAGTGTTTATACATACCCATACGTCCATACGGTGCCCCGCCTACTGGCGCTAATTAATTTATCTTCCTAATGCCCTTCTCTGATTGGACTGAATCGCCATTTGATGTTTAATAATCGGATTACCAGCCAATCGTTGCCATCAATGCATAATCGGTCGTCTGCTTCAGTTTGACAGCTCGTGTATGCTTCCTTATTCTTTTCAACGAGTTCCCCTCCCCCGAGTTAGTTACGAACTACAACTACTTGAGCCGTCATTGTTTGGCCTTACTACAGTGACGTCCCCCTGTCTGTGAAAGACTGTAGTTTCCTCTCGCCGTCGTTAGCCACCACCAAGTGGCCTGCAGTCTCAGTCAACCGACTGATAATCTTCGTGAAAAATTTACGATCGCCAAATATCCCGCTGTACCATCTGGGGACTACCGGACAGAGTAGCGCACGCCTGCGGCACGGTAACATGACTTCTGCCGTAAGAAGGGACCTCTTCCGTCCGATCGAGCAGCTCTCGATGGCTCACCCCCAGCCACCTGCCGCCAGCCCCTCCAAGCCCCTCACCTCCTTCCGTATCGACGACATCCTCGGCTCCAAGCCTCTTCCTCGGAAGAAAGAAGTTTCCTGCGAGCCCAAACCTGCCACGAGTGTTACGGTAAACGGGGCGAAGAAGAAACATGTGGGGTCGGCTAGCCCATCGGACTCGTCCTCCCTCCCGGTGTCTATGAACTCTCCGTTGAGTGCCCTGGAGGAGCTGACCAACAAAACTTTCCAGGGACTGGAGTCCAGCGTCCTTCGGGCAGCAGAAGGTAAGCACGCCGCAGGCACCCGAGCTAACAAGCCGGTAGGGATGCGCGAACAACGAGCCAAGCCACATTCCCCACATGGCCAACGTGCCTGACAAGGCTAGTCAGAAGCAGAGCTATCGCATACATGTAGGGCCTTGACTTCTCCGCCCGAGGTGGTGCAGGCTAGAGATATGGGTCAATCCGCCTGATATGCAACTACAAAACTCTTCATTAGCTGTGAGCATGAGATGACAAGTAAGCTAGGATCTCAAGGTCTCTCAAGTGGTCCCGTTACTAACGAAGTGACAACAAAACGTGCGCTTGTGAGTCGAGAAGTACTACAGTAAGAACCTGGAAAAACAACAGGTCGGGGGTAAACTTTGGGTAGAGATTGTCAATTGGAAGGAAAACCAGAAATATAGGATAAGCAAATCATCTAAGCTGTTTATTGTTATTTCCTGGTGGTTGTTTGGAATGGGAAATTTAAGATTGACATCGCGTGTGTCGCGTAGAAAATGGCAAAGTTTTGGGAAGTTGAAAGCACCCTAAAATATAGCGAACTGAATTGGACCAAAGGCAAAACAAAAGAAAATAAAACAATAGATTGTATGGTTTCAGCTGCTTGGATGAATGAGTGTCTATGGCTTCCCGTGGTTTGTGGTCTATGAATATTTTGACAATGAGGCGCGTTAAAGGACAGGGCATTTCTGTAGTTCCCACGCTTATAAAAACACACGGGTAGTTTGGTCCTGGAACATGCGCCATAATTTGTAGGAATTTCGTGCATTGCAACAAATACAAAAACTACTCTGTTATAGAGAATCGTCATGACGTTGCATTCAAAACTGTAGCAGTTCTAGGTGGTCAAATAACTGGTCTATCTTTCAACTGTGTCCAGAATTTTAGTTCACTGTTCAGCTAACAATGACGGAGAATGCGTTTACGAATAAAATTACTTCCGTATCACGGTCGTTGTTTCTTGATCACCTTGTTGCTATAAGACGGTAGTTGTTGAACATGAGAAGGTGGATGTTTGGAGAATAGGTTGCGGATTTCCTGATGTCGGAAATGCCTGATGAATTTCTCAGGAACTTCGCCGTACAGATCTGTCAATCAAATGTTTGTGTCTATCGCTGTTCGTTTCACTATCATGGTGCTCGTCTACAGTGGGTAGGGGAGAGGTCGCTGACAGCACAAATAAACCCAAACTTTTCGTGTTCCCTTTCTGCACGTATTATTATTGTTCCTCTTGAAACAAAGCTGTGTCAATGCGTCCGATTCTCCGAAGAGAAGTACTCCTCCATTTCACGTGTCTGACGTTTTGACAGACGTCTTTAGATAATTCGGCACAGATGTTCTTGATACAACTTTTCGTCACGGAGTCGTCGTCCGCGTATTCTTGACTGGGCTTGTGAAATATGACAAGTTGTAGTTAGCGTTCTAGTTTCGACATCCTGAGATATATGGCAGTAATATTGCACATTTGGTATGCTCACATTTTAACCATACAAATGGATGATTTGTTGTCCTCTCTAGTTCACCTTTGAAATTGATCATTTGTTTTTTCTTCTTCCCTATATAGCGGCTACCTCGAATCGTGACAACATGGGCCTGTTCAGTAACAGACAGCCTCCCAAGAAGCGACGAAAATCTCGCACCGCCTTCACCAACCACCAAATCTACGAGCTGGAGAAGCGCTTCCTGTACCAAAAGTATCTCTCGCCGGCCGACAGGGACCAGATCGCCCAGAGCCTAGGTTTGACCAACGCACAGGTCATCACATGGTTTCAGAACAGGAGAGCCAAGCTCAAGAGGGACCTAGACGAACTGAAGGCGGACATGACCGCCGCAAAGTTGCTGAAGAAGAAGGGAATCCCCCCAGATATGGTACTAAGAGACGCCAATGGCGACATAATAGTAAATGGGAACCGACAGAACGTAGAAGGAGAGGAGGAAGAAGAAGATGACGAGGACCAGGAAATCGACCTCGAGGTAATAGATGACGAGGAGGAAGACTGCAGGATGGAGGGAATAGAAGATGAAGAACACAAGCAGGAGAGAAACAAAGACAGTTCCGTGAACTCTAGTTCTAGTTCGGACTCACTTCACGAACAGGCCAAAGACACGTCAGAAACAGCGGCTGCTGCAGCCGAGATCGCTTCACAAGGCAGCCCGTCCGGCCAGGAGGCAAGCTAAGTAGTGCTACCGTTGTCTGTTTTGTACATATGGACTCTATCGTACGTGGTGACAAGAAAAAAGAACGGACGATCGATCTGAACATCTGAGATCAGCCTCTAGCTCTGTACAGTTTGTATACAGGAAAGAAGATATAGCTAGTTGCCCCGTCACGATCTGTCTTGATCATTATTGTTGCAGACATGGGGGAAATGTCAGACGCTCGCTGCTTCTCTGGTCATCTCTTACGAGGTGGTCTTGACCATACTTCCCCCCTAACATGTACACACCCCGGGACGCCCTCTCGATTTAAACAACCAACGGCTTACCCAGGCCCGATTTTCCACTTTTGGGGGCCTGTCTGTCGATTTTCTGCTCCCTTTGAAAATACCCTAGTCACCATGTGGTTGACGTGTCGTTTGGTAGGGGAGGGGAACTCGGCTCAGACCTCCTGGTCTACAATACTAAAGCTTAGGTTTTCAATATTGTTTCTATTGTCTTCCATTTGGCGGATAAGTGGATCATAATCATGCAAAATGCCGTTGCATAAAATTTCCCCTTCCTCCTGCCCCACGCTACAACCATCGCAAGAGATGAGCAGAGGAAATGATGATCAGAACGTGTTGAAATCCCCTAATTATTACCTTTGCTTATGTTCCACGTTACCAGATTACTGGGATTTGTTCGGTGTTACAAAAGGATTAGAATTTTCCGCATTTCTTACGCGTTCACCCCCTCGACTTAACGCACTAACTTGCCATCTGTTCCAAACTGGGATCACGCTGAGATTTGGTCGCTTTTAATTCATTGCTACTTTTAGCTTTCCTATGATCTGCACTGCAGATCCCGATACCAACAGAAGAGAGAGTATTAGCCCGGTGTGTGTATTGTGTAGCCGTGTTTTCATTACGGGCGTTTATTTCTGTACACATTGTCTATTGGATTAACAAACAGAGCTAGCCTTTATTTTTGGAAATCCGCTAAGCTGATATAGGACGTTTGTTCAGCCAATTTAGGGGAGGAGGGGAACACGCTACGCTCGCCAACACCACAGGATATTTATTTGTCTAAGACTTAGCAAATCGTCTCCGTCTGACAGAGTATTTGAACTATTCAGGGACACAGCAGTAACTTGCAGACCTGCCTTCTGCGACAAAACGAGAAATACCGTGTTCTACATTACTGCACTGTAACAGTATGTGTACTACAACTCGTGTTGGTGTCGAATTAAAATCTCTGTTGTTGAATTTTGTAAACCACGGCTTTGTTTTGCATTGTTTTTGTTCTCCTCACTTTAGAGAGATAAAAGGGCTCGTGAACGATTGAACAAATAAGGGTATAATTTTGGTTTTTCAATTATGGTTATATTTTCTTTGTTTGCTTGGGAAAACGGATGATTGTGTGAAGCCACCGTTACTAATAACGGTGCTGTGTGGCGAGTTATACAAGTCGGGGGCCTGCGAGCTCTGATAATTAAAGACCGGAGAATGTCTCGTGGCGACAAGTCTCCAATCGCTTCATAGTAAATATACGGGTGGACTTTCATGGGAAACTGTGCATCAGACAGACAGGGGAACATCAGGGGACAATAGGGTAGAGTCTCTGGGATCAGACGAGGTTTGGATCGCATATGGAACGAGAAGAGGCCCCGGTAACAAGCGTTTGTTGTTACTGGGTTTCCTCCATTGTCAAGTCGCTGGCCCTGTCAGACAGGGAGGATGTCAGGTGGCCAGGGTTAGCCAGCCTCGCCGCCTCACATTCTACTGAATAAACCCATCCCATGGCAGGGAAGGATGGGAAAATCAGCACAGACGTGACATATTCGCGAGCAATTAGAATAATTCATAAAAGAAAAACTGTGTGTGCTTTAACATTTAGTATGAAGCAGACACGAATTCACAAAGACTTAGTGCATATTTCTCCTGATTGTGGATATGCGGGAATGTGGCATTATTACACAATTGAAATGGTGAACTGCACCATAAAAGAACATCCAGATGGCTGCGGAGATTTCAATTAGAATCAGAAGCGAAACAGATTTAATCCTGTTTGGACAATCGGCTTTTGAGTGATGATCCGTCCAGGAGAGCCCGTTGCGAATCTGCCGCAAATGAGGAAACAAAGCATCGCCACCCTGCCTTAATTTCCCCAATCTGGAAACGATGAATAATCATTGGATCTAATGGCCTTAATTATGCCAAACAACGGACTCTAAATCACCCGGCTAATGCCAATAATACATCTGATAACGAGGAATTTTCCTGGCTGTAGGGCTTCCCGTTTATTAAGTTTTTTTACTGCCCAGTGAAGTGATTGCTTTTGTGCGAAAAGTGCTGATTACAAAGTGAGTGGCGGTAATCGCGATGGAGGGCACTTGTTCAATCTATGAAGTATAATTTCATTAAAGCACAATAACGCTTGATTGTAGACCACTCAAAATTGTTTGTTCTATAAAAGAAATGGGTGTCTTCCGCGCAAATGGATAAGTGCCCCCATGAGTTAATCATATTATCGCGGTATTGGGCAGACTGCAGCCCACACCAGATACCTGATTGCACGCATTTACGACGAAAGAAAAAAATAGTAGCTTGCTGAGAAAAATGTAGGAAACCACGAAACAAAACAAAAACATTTTCCCACTCAGCTTATCGAAGAATACCGTCCTTTGTGGTGAGTAGTTTCGCCAATAGTTGTGCATTTACCGAGTTAGTTCGTGACGAAGAAGCGACCTGGCGCCATGTTCAGCCGCCATATGGTTTATGAGTTTTTGCTAATCGAAAGCAACGTTGTTCAGAGGAAGTCAGCACATCTTTCACTGGGTCAGATAGAGATAGGCACCGTGATAAGGGAAATTATATTAGCTGGCACCGTGGTGGGCACTTTGGCTCGCTTTGGTTTGGACACTGCAGGACAAATGTGCATTAGCAAGATCTTGTTTGGAAAGGGCCAGCAATTAGTTTGATCGTGTGTAGTAGCCATCCCAAATATAGTCGGACATCCCCAGAGCTGACCGATCGTTTCAATCAAAATGCAAATGACCATGCCATTGTACACACCCTTAAAAAGAGCAGCAGACATTCCCAGAAATGCACATTTCACGTCTAAATGGAGGTATTGTGGTGTGCTCAACATCCTACCAGGGTATTAGAGAAGGCTGGCGAGAGCTTTTATGTGTTCTCTATTTCGGAATAGAACCCGCTTGTGTCATGGTATAGGTTGAGAGCGGTCAACTGCGTGCGCCTAGCTATGCATTGTGTACCGTACTAATGACCACATGGCCAGCGGATGGACACTGATACCTCCTCTTTAAAATATGATTTGCAGCTGACGTGTCATTTTTCAGGGCGGCTGTCAGGTAGGACTGTCCCTGGGTGCGCGTCTCTCACCCGTCATCGGGTAACCCATGCTGGCGAAAAAGGTGCCGAAAATATGACTGACAGCTTGAGCAGGCGGCCCGACTTTGTGTCCTGCAGTAACGAGGTTATCACGGGGCGACTCCAGGGTCAATGGGCGCGCTCTCCCTTCTTTTGATTCATCGCTATTTTCGGTAAAGTTCTAAAGGCGGACAGATTTGGAAACTGCACATTAGAATGCGGTGTTTTGAAGACGAGCAGTCGGCCCCCTGTTAACTCGACTCCGGCTGAATGCAGCCGCTTGACGCCCTGCCTTCATGTCAAACCGAACAAGTCACGTTGAAATAATTTGCGAGAGATGGTTTCGAATCGCGTCCCCACGTCTGCCGTCCATGCATTGTGCCGCTGGCCGGCCACACAGCACGGCCCCGTGCCCCCGTACTCAACTCCCCCACCCTTTTAAGCCTCGGCGCCGAATATTATCTCTGCGAAGTCGAGTGGAAGCATGTGCGTCTTCGGCGGCGAAAACAACTCCCTTTGCCCGAGCGACAGCATGTGTGCGGTGATTTATGTTGCAGTGTGCTTCCCGGCAACTATATTTACACCAGATTACATTTTGTCACGGTTCATTGTACTGATGATATTTGTGCCAAGAGAAGGGTAGAAAGTTCATCCCGGGGTTTGTAGTTAATTGCTGTCAACAGATGGTCAGGATGTGTCCCCCACTCAGCTGACGAGCACTCTGACAATCCACCAGCCGTCGGTCCTGTTAACAATCTATCTTTACCTATAACATTACCACGTCTTCAAGCCATTAAAACGAAGGGACTGTGACCGTTATAACCACACAACGATGTCTGTGCGATACCAGAATGGGGAGGAAGCATCCGAGGCACGCTGGACGATTTTTGAAGTGTTTTTGCAACTAGTCGTCAGCTCGCGTAGCTGGCATAGCGACTCGTCCAAATGAGTTTGGAAAGAAAATAATCTCGCGAAATGGAGGAATGGTTTTGTTCGGGGATGATAAACGGAAACCAGCTGCCGAGACTGGTGAGGACAAGAGAAGACGTGTTGAGTTGAAAAGTCAAGCGAAGAGATCCCTGTTCTTTTTTATAGCATTTTGGCACCAAGTATTTGGCAATCTTAAATTGTCCTGGGCCAGAAACGCCTCTATAAAATCCGATCGACCTGAGCATCCTTATTTGCACCAGGTTTATTTTGATATCAAAACAACAACAACAACAACAATCAAATATATCTAGAACTGATGGAGCCATTTTGTATGAAAACTACGTAGGCACATGTAGTAAGGCACATCTTATCCTTCCATATTTTGAAATTTTGAAATGAAAAAAAAAAACCTATCCATATCGTATTCTAGTTATGGGTATTTAGCGGCAATAACGCTCCCTGTCCTATGGTAGTTTTGGGTGTATGAGAAGTTCCAATAATGTTCGCTGTCATTCAACGATACTCCCGTATTCGTCTTTACTAAACATATATCTGTCCCATCCACGCGGCTGCTATAAACGTTGTGTAAGTATAACATTTGGACTGTTAATAGTAGTGCTGAGTTACAAGGGGCGTTGAAATGTATTGCCAGCAAATAGAGTGTTCAAAATAACTTCATTTCGCCTTCGATGGCAACTTCAGTCCAAGTCGTCCAAGTCGTAAAGTATGATTTGTCAAGTGTGCAGTCTCCGAGCCCCCAGGGAAATAAAGAAACCGCATGGCAAACGTCCAACATTTGAAATGTCAATTCTGCAAAACACAATAACTTTAGGAACACGCGACCGTAAATACTCAACAAGTAAACGTCGCGAAGAACGCTCTAAAACGTCACGTACTGAAGTATTTCTAGTTTTATTACTTTGTGCGGAGCACGTAGATGATTCCTTTATGGGGCACGGCACTACTTTTGCTTTGGAAACGCTGCGTTCAACCCTACATGTGATATCACATAAAGTTCAATACACTTGCAAAAGCTGAATATAGCTGAAAGAGGTCACTATATTTTCAACTTCAAAACGCTCAAAAGGCTTACTGTAGAGCATGTAGTCCCGATCAAAGAACAGTCGGATGTGTGACTATGGAGCCAGAGATTTTACGACGGAGTTAGATATGACATTGGAGAGTGTACATACAGCAGTGGTACTGTATATAGGGCGGACTACCATATTTGTATTTTTCCCGTCAGCAATCCTCCCGAGGGTTGGGAAAACCGCAGGAGAGGAAGGAAGTCGTTGGATTGTCGATATGTAACAATTATCTGTCATTTCTGGGGAAGCAATCACTCCGTATGGGTTGCCATGGTGATTTGTTCCTCAGGGTTATCGCGGTCAAGGGGGACGTCGGTCATTATTAACGGCTCGTCTATGGGGGGGGGGCAAACACACCAATATGTTCCTATTGTATATACTTACCAATTATGAAAACATATTGGTGTAGAAACAACCATACGTACACAAGGAAAACTACTTTAGGGTCGTATATTGAAGGCAGAAGTAGCTATATTCCCTATGTGGGAAATCACGATAGAAAATCGTTGTGAACAAAGGGGTTCAATCCTATGATCTCCTATGTGTCCTGTCTTCGTGACGGAAAGCTTTGATTTGATCCTCAGTTCACATACTTGTGCAAGATTCTGAACACTCAGGTTTCTTATCCAACGTGTACATACATAGAAACACGTGATTTTACCCCCGAAGATACCTGGCAGCGTATTCAATTGCCGCTTCTTCAGTGTTTACCGACCAATTTGTGCGACTCCCAACACAGACGTCGCGCGGGATGCTACAACTTATCGTCTGCGTTTCCATGGCAACCGTCCGCAGATGCCCTCCCGGCAAGGCGCATGGCGCTAGTTAGCGCGGGAGAAGCGCCGTTCTCCGGCAGTGTGTGTGATC